GACTTATACACGTCAAGTTGAGCCTCGGCATAAACCCACATCTCATACAACTCCCGCGGCAAACCGGGATCAACAGAAGTATGAGACGTAGACGGTTCTGACTGTCGTCGCACCTTCTCGGCCCTCAAGACAACGACCTGCACGTTCAACCCAGACAACTCCACCTCCAAACCCTGGATCCGTTCTTCTAACCTCGCCACCTTAAGCGCCGATGTCCCCACCTCATTATCCCGCTCGGACCTACAAACGTGGAGGGCATCTTCTAAGGCTGCCGCTTCAGCCATAGCGGCCATTCTGCCTTTCTCGGAACGACTTAATTCTTTGACCTTGGCACTCAGCTCGCCCCTTAGATCGACAGCCCTTGCCTCCCTATGCCCGAGTTCAGCCGTTAAGAATGCCACATGCGTTTGAAGGTCAGCATTCTTAGCCATCACCCCCTTGCTCACCTCGAGTTTGTCCTCCTTGGCCTTTAGAGCTGCCTCAAGCCCGTTGCACCTACCGATGGCCATCATTAGCTCATCATCCCTCTCCCTTAGCTCTTTATTTTTCTTTGCCAGCTCATCATCTTTCTGTTTAAGCCCATCGCGAAGCGACTGAAATTCGTCTTCCTGGCTAAAGAAGTCAGCCAGCGTTCGGTGCTTGGTGCAACACTCCTTGTAATTGGAGGTCATCTTTTTAAAAATGGTCGTCCTCCGCTCCTCCCGTCGATCTCGCTCGATCCCCATGATAATAGTCTGACCTGCTAAAAGAGAGGAGTCACTGCGAAGCGAATTACACATGCGAAACAAATCCTACCATAAAAAACACACACACTTACTCGTAGAGCCATGCCGGATATACCCAACGACAGATCCGCATCGTTCATCGCCTGTAACGCCATGCTCTTAGAAGCTGCGCACAGGGGAGCAAAGGTCGACACCGCCCGTTCTGAGTGGCCAAGAGGTCGTAGTCCGCGGGAATGACTATGTGCTGGTTAGGACCCTTCGTCCTTATCTCCAAACAAGTATTCCTCTCCAGAAAGGATCGTACCTCCTCAGGATCGACGTCCAAGCCAGAATCGTTATCCCCCGCAGGGACCGCCCTACTTCCCCCGGCCGCCGATGATGCGCCACCTTCTGCGGCCCGTGTAAGCTCTCCGCTACCACGAACCGCCTCAACCCCAGAGGGTCTCCTCTCCATGATGGCACCTACCGTGAAAACAATCTCTACGTCCTGTAAGGCACAGATTCCGCTTCCAAAGCAATGAATTTTTCCGGCTCGACGTCAGCAACGACGGCCTTCCCAGTTTCCACCCTTCGCCTTTTCCTCGACGGTCATTACCGTTGGATGGCTCGTCTATAAGATGATAGATGGGCTGGGGAGAGATCTCATCCCGCACAGCAACAGTTTGAAGGGCGGAGTCCCTCCTTGGCGGAGCTTGAGTCCGACCTCCTCGAGCAGACTCGGCTAAAGCAAATTGCATCCCAGCCGACGCGATAGCTTGGCGAAATGCAGGCACTGGAGCTTTCTTCTTGGAAACTCGCCGACCTGGCACCAAAAAGAGGTCGCATCAAAGAGCAATGGTGAACAACAATAAGCTGAGGTAGAAGTGACACTTACTGGACGGAACCTTGGGTCCAAAGCGCTTGTGAAAGGATGCCCAATCGCGAATCCCGATGATGTGGGGTAACACGCGAGCCACCCAGTCTTCAATGTCAAAAACGGGAGAAGGTGGATGCCTCTCAGCTAAAAACAAGAAGTTTGCGAATGAGTCAATAGTAAAAGAAAGAAAATAACGAGTGTGTGCCAAGTTACTTACGATTATAATTCCATTGTTCGGAAACCCGCTCTGATTCGCCACCAGGTACTCAGTCTTGATGAAGAAATACTTATGCTATAACCGCCGGTTCGCTTTATCATCCATCCCGGCCACCAACCCTTTTATCCCACGATGACGCAAGTGTATCAACGTACCTCTATAAAAACTAGGCAAAAATAGATGCAGCAGGTGACAAACGTTGACCTCGCAGCCAGCCAATTCCGCATACTTCGCCAGCATCAAAAATAATTTATACAAATAAGGGGAAAGCTGTGCCGGACAGATGTTATAGAATTGGCAAAACTCTTCTGCTAATGGGGGAGAGGAAGAGAATAACCGATTAAGAATGGGTAAACGTAAAAAGCACAATAGCCGGGTCGGTGAACCTCTACAATGTCACTCCCAGCCGGAACAATTTCGACGTGAGGAGGAATGCGATGTTTAGACCGGAGGTCGTTTATCTGAGGCGGCCCCGTCTCAGAAATTCTCTAAGCAGGAGCAGGAGCAGGTTCCTTTGGGAAGTCATGTCTGACCAAAGGGTTTTTGGGTACTATCTCCTCCACATTGGGAAACATATCATCATCTTCAATCATGAATTCCTCGCCACCGGGAGGAAGAGCCACCGATAAAGGAGTGGCATCAGAGACCTCATCGTGAATGTGAGGGAATTCTGACATATCTCCGTAGAAAACGTACGCAACGAAATCTGGAGAAGGTATGGATTGGGTGAGAAGTCAGGGACTAGAATTGAAGAAGCTGCAAGGAATTGAAAGTGGAGATCGGAGAAGAAGACCAAAAGAAGAGCAATGCACAGGCGAAATGAGAAATGATGAAAATTTTCAAAAATGAAATCCCCCCTTTATTTATAGGGTTGGGTGACACCAGAATAGAAGTAGCAGGCCGTCAATGGCACCGAAATCAAAACGACAGAAGTAGAGACACAGCATCGGGAAGACGCGTAATGATGACGCGCGTGTCCATTACATCACCCCACGTTAGCCACACCAACTGCAGCCACACTGGCCATGCCGCTTTTTTGACCTCAACCGATTCAATTTAATCAACACGACCAAATTTCTTCTAAACGGACGCAGACCGGGTCCGCTTATCGAGGACGTGCAAGATCACGACCTCAACAAGCGGAGGGACTAACTGTATTGGTGTAAATTTGGACGGCTTGATAACTGCAGACAAACATGGTCGAGGACGAGGTCGACTACGGCATAATAGCGAGGAGTTGTCTTCAGAAGGATTATCGCTGAGGACGAGCAAATGAAGTAAAGAAGTAACGGTAGGATAGACTTAAGGAATATTCCTTTAGATATTTCTTATGTTGTATTTTTTAGGATTTCTTGGGGATATCCCTTATAAATAGGAAGAGATAGAGAGCAAAAAGGAGATCTTTACTTCTTGATAAGAGCACTTTGTAAAGAGTTGACTTGAGAGAATATACTGTTCACTGACTCTATAGATTTTACTCACATTATTCATTCCTTGTTCTCAAGATCCGAAGATTCCTTATCTATCTACATTTATCTTAATTCCACGTTGATGTCAGGAAGGAGATTCACCCAAACCGTCTAACATTTGGGTGATAAATTCCTCTTTATTGCATTTATTGTCATTGCCTACATTTATTGCATGTTCTTATTATAATATTCATTGATAAACGTTGAACACGTGCCTGTTCTTGTTATTCCTAAAAGTGGTCTGACTCCACGGATCAGTCCAAGCTCTTTATCTAGATCTGATTATATTTAACTAGGATTCATCCTCTATCTCATCATTAATTAGTTTAGCAAAGAGTTTAGTACTTTTTGGTCAAACAAAAGTAGCCTTGGGCCACTTAAACGTGTACCTATTTGTCAATCCGGTTGATGAACTTAGAAAATTCTCATTTAAACACCTCAACTCCATGAAATGCATATAAATAAACACACATGACGGTGAGTGTTATTCAATCGCTGCTGACATGGATAAAATTTAACATTTTTTATTATCATGTGTTTGGACACTTGTAATTATAGGTCCCGCTTCTTCTTCTTTTTTTTTTTTTTAATAATCATTTTTTATCACATTTCTTGTAATTGTGCATCCCCTTGATCTACTTTAGAACTAGCCGGAAATTTTCAGAACCCTTTCAAATATCACTGGAAAAATTTCTCTAGCAGTTGTCATTTTTCTCACTCCACTACCTTCCTCTTCTATCTTTCAACTTCTTCTTACCAACAAAGCAAAAGTTATTAAAAGAAAAATCTTCAGATTTGACTGTCACCAATTGTTGCTTCAAATGGACAAATCAATATTAGTTTGATATTATCTACCAATGATTTAATTAATTTGAACTTTGCTTGAAGATCTGTCTGCGAGATTGCTGGCCAAATAACCTTTTTCTTCATCAAAAAATTTGTCTCTATAATTCTCCATGATTTGCACAGCTAAGAGATTGAGATTGAGGTAAAGAGATGGAAAATGGTTAATATAAATCTTACTTACTTCTCCAGCAACATCCTACATTTTTCAATAGTTTTATTATCTTCTTCACCTTTATCGCTGGTCCACTTATTGCAGCTATTCCTTTGCCTCCCATGGTGTTTTTTCTGTTATAGGGAAGCAATGGTCTTTGATTTTGTTGGATACTGCAGTGGTTTAAGGCAATGGTGATGAAATGGAGGTGACAAAGATGGTGGAGCAATGACAAGAGTAAAATAGGGAAAGAAA